GTTTTGCCAGAGGCTAATCTAGGGAAAGGGAAATACCCAACTCCAGCCCCCTTTAGCCTTCCCTTCTCACCTAAGGGATGAGGAAAAGCTGAGAAGCACTTGTGAAAGTCACAGTGCAGGGCACAGCCTCACTATAAAACTAGGACTTCGTTATAAAATTACAGAATGGTTATCTTCTTCCATGCTTTACCACCACATCAATAGGACTCCTGTATAATAATGATGGATTATGAGAAGAACTGCAGGGCTCTGAAGATATTTATGGAGTCTCTAGGGAAACACAAAGACAACAACAGAAACAAAAACCAAGAGACTGAAAAAGAATTCCAGCCTCTGACACTTATAGCTACAGAAAACATTAAACATGGCCTAGCTCTTAGATAGATCAAACTGTAATTCTCATATTGCATTGAATGTGTGTGATCACTCCAATATTGACTCAACGAGGCAGTTTTTGACACTGTTATTGGGATTTGTTTTGTTTTTGTTGTTGTTTTTTTACCAGTGGTGCTAGTAAGTCACATCCTACATTTTATACATTTCACCTTACTTTTGGCTCTGCTTATTGGATATTTATGTTTGTTAATGATCAGTCACATTTTAAGGTTTCTTGGCTCTACCTTGACATTGTCTATTCCATGGACATCTGTCATTGTCCATTCCAGTTTTACGTTGTCTGAATTAGATGAACATATTAACTGTATTCGTCTTTTAGATCTGTTAAGTTCTAGGAGCTCCTCTCTAAGCTGAATCAAGCCGATTAATAGTCCTCCCACTTACTCATCTCCAGTTATTTTTGGTCACGATGATAAAAATTGCCATAAGAGAGACTTTCTCAAGCTTCCTTGTTTAAAAGCTTGCTGAAGTTCAGATATATTGAGACAGTGTAAGTAAAATATACAATTAGCAAATTCCAATATAGAAAGCGACATGAGTGTAGAGTGACAAATACATACTGATTTCAACATTTGGCAACTTCAAGTTCTCCCTAATCTGGTTGTTGTTTTCATTTTCAACAATGAGTAAGAATAAAGCCATACTGGGTCTTTGTGATAGATGAGAAAATTATAAAGAATTTTAGAAGACAGGATTCTAATAAAAATATGTCTAAAAATATTGATAAAATAACACATATAGGCTTTGGAGGAGTTATGTCTATTTTTATCAGGAGAGAATTAACATATACGTAGCTTACAGATGTTCCAGGTTTGAGAGAGGCCACCATGGTTGTTGGTATAACAGCTCTGCTGCTTCCAGCTGCCATTTAGATTTTGAGAAACTGACTTAGCCCCTGTTAATTTCCATATCTGTGAAATGTAGATAGTAATAGCTCCTACCTCCAGCATTGCTGTGATGATGCCTACTGGAATATAGCAAGTGAACAGTATATGTAACTTCTATCAATTTTCACAGAAACAGGGATGTCATGGTATGGACCATATTTCTGGAAGATAAGTAAAAATTGGCGTGGATGACAGCCAAATAGGATGGTTAAGGAAGAATACTAAGAATACTAGTATTAGCATAAGAATACTAGCACTAATACCAAAAGGTATCAGGATCTAGTTGCAGCTGGACAACAAACTTCAACAACTTGGGCTAAACTGTCTTGATTATAAAGCTTTCCAAGAGCACACAACTGAATGGAGATGAGACTTGGCATGGTAGGGTGGGCAGTGGTGAGGGTTCATAATAGGAAATTCTAAGGAAACTTCCCAGGAGGAAATGAAAAGTTGCTTCATTCTTCCCATTTTCTTACACAGCATTGCATTTCAGGATACCTCAAAATTCTATTGTGAAAAGAAATGACAACTTTTTCTAGAGACAACCCAAAGTAGATTAAAACCCCATCTCTACTAAAAATACAAAAAAATTAGTTGGGTGTGGTGGCGTTGCCTGTAGTCTCAGCTACTCAGGGGGCTGAGGCAGGAGAACTGCTTGAACCTAGGGGTGGGGAGGTTGCAGTGAGCCAAGATCATGCCACTGCACTCCAGTCTGGGCAACAGAGTAAGACCTCTCTCAAAATTAAAAAAAAAAAAAAGAAAGAAAAACAAAACCACCAAAAAACAAACAAAAAACAAAAACAAGCAGAAACCACACACACACACACACACACACACACACACAAACACACACAAACCAACAAAACAGAATGGCAACTCTCTAGGAAGAAAGTTTAACTATAAACTACCTAATAAGAAAAGTTGTCCAGTCAATGGTCCTAGCTATCCAAGACTCTAGGTCATCACTCAGCCAGGGTCCTTGGAGTAAACGAGTAAACATGAGATGATAGGCCCATGGGCCTATCTAACTTGTTTTAGGATCAAGAACCCAATAATGCTGCCATTTACTGCTAAATTGCCTTGGTTATTTTGTTATAACCTGCCTGTCACCCTTTAGTGGATGTCTTAGCTAAATATGGATGCTGACACAAAGGCTAAGAGGGAGCTTGTGGGGACCCTGAAATTTTTGGAAGCATGATGCTAACGCGATGTTTTTTAAATTCCTTCAAATGCATTAGGAAAAAAGCTTGTGTAAGATCCTCTGTAGTATTAAGAGTTATATGATATTTTAAAAAATTTTTAATGCAATTTTCCATTTTTTCTTGCTTTTTATTGGTCCTGAACTTTTTCCAAACCATCTACTATCTATGAGAATATTAAGATTATAATGAAACAGTACAAGAAAATAGTGCTCAGCTTTGACTTCAAAAGTAAACTCCCCAAAACTGCCTAAAAGAGCATAAAGTTTAATAAGTGATGGGTGGAATGCCTCAGTTGGGAGATAAAGGATGTGTCTGCCTGGAGGCTGGAGGCCTGTGAGGAATCTTCTGGACTTGGAAGTGAAGAATCGAATTAGTATTCAGAGTCTGCACAGCCTTTGCTCTGTCAACACCAGGCAGCACTAAGGAACCTTTTGTGAGCCAAGCCAATGGTGCCTATGGGCCATCCTTGCCCTCCAGGTGAGCACCCACTGCAGGTGTCTGCATTGCCTGTTGACTGTGCAGCAGGAGAGTCCCCTGCTGCCCTAAGATGGTCAACTTGTCTAAATTACTCCAGCAAGCAGCCAACCCATATGCCCAGGATACTTCCAAGCCCCCCAGATAGAGAATGGTTTTAAGATACTTAAGGAAGCAGTGGAGATATGGAAAGTTCTGGGTGGTATTGTTTAGATCTATCTCAAAAACCCTTCACCTGCCCCACCACCAGCCCCCAGAAGAGGGAGCGGTGAAGCCTTTGGCCCTGACAAAGGAATCATAGTAACCATGAAAGAGCACAGACTTTCTTTTATCCCTCTGTGTCTGTTTTCCTACTATTCTGCTGTGAATTTACTCTAAAAAAAAATTGCTAATGGAATTGAAGTGGACATGAGTGGCAGAATATTTAATACCAGAGAGGACATATAACTTGGTAGAAGCACATTATTTAATATTTAAAAATACACATCATGAATCCAGGATCATCGTATTCTTAGGTTTCCAGCTTTGAGCGAACTACTCATATAAGCCTGTGTTTTCTTATTTGTGAAAGGAAAATAATGCTGTCCTCAACCTTATGAGACTTAAATGGGATGTTACACCCACACACCCCTATATAGAGCCACACAGTAGACCGGGTCACATCGTGCTCGTCTGTTATCAATATGCTCATCTGAATTTGTTGAGCACATATTATCTTCAGCTGCTGTGAATTGCCTGTAATGGAGATAAAATTCTAAGATATCAACAAACAGAGGGATGCCTTAGTGTTCCTGGATCCCCAGTATTCACATGTCTGAGGGCTGCTTTTTCTCGCAGGAGGAGTGCACTAAGGAGAAGGTGCTAATGGACTACTGATTTCGTATCCATTCTGTGCTATTTTAAGAGTGTGCACAAGATATTCTATGGCCCTGGAAATCTATTTGGAACTCCAGCCAATAACTATGTCACCTTGGTCTCAAGTTTTGAGTGAGTTGAGAAATGAGAGACTTTGTACAAAATGTTTCATTTTATGAAGATTTGCTTTTGAATATGTTATTCTATGTGTAATAGGTACATAGTGAATCAGAAGGTAGAAATGCAAATACCCTGTTTTGTCCTTGAGAATCTTAGAATACAGTGGGAGAAACTTATTCGGTACTTTCCAAACATTCAAAACAATCATAAGGCAAGGAGATTTAGTTTTTTTTTCAGTGTTCGGTTCTTCTGGACACACATCCTAAATCAAAACTGTCATTTTTAAAAAGACAAAACTTACAAATATCCTTTCCTGAGTATATTTTCAATGAGGTTGCGATAAAAGGTAAAAAAAAAAAAAAAATGTATACAGAAGAGTAGACTATCCAGGGCAGAAGAAACAGATCTCAGGCCTCTACCTATAACTTATCCATCACATGGTCAGTCAAAACCACAGCTTTGAGGGAAGAGGCAAAGAGGAAGAATGCTCTAATTTTACCAGAGCTAAAACCATAAAAGTGTCTTCTTCTGAGGAAAAAGAGAGAGAGAGAGTAGAGAGGAGACACAGAGAGAGAGAGAGAGAGAGAGAGAGAAAGGAAGGAAGGAAGGGGGAAAGGCTGGCATTCTTTTACTTGCTAATTTGTAAGTGCAATTAAGGTTAAAGTCATACTTCCCTTCACAAGAAAACATGACCCAAAGCTGAATGAGCAAGAAAGCTTTGTTTGTAAAGAACTTTTCAAGATGCTGTTTTTCTCCTGGAAAATGTGGTTTATCTAATTGATGGCTGAGGAAAACCATCTTTTTAAACTTCCCACTCAGTGACTCACTCTGGGGTGTGTCTGCCTTGTAGCATCCTGTGAGATCCAGTAATCTAAATTGGCATGACCCAGGCAGCCCCAACCTCATGCGTCAAGCCAAGCTACCGGCGCTGGGAAACCAGAGAGAGCCCGGTTTTCTAAACAGAGTGGTTAACAAAATTGCATGTTATGAAATGGGGTTTCATCCTTTAAAGGATCATTACCTATTTTTAAAAAGAACCTGTCGAATAATTCCTATCACCCCCAGCTGTCTACAGTTGCCAGGTAATTATCCCAACGGAAGGGCAAGTATTATTTCCTTAGGGTTTCTTCATGTTTACCTTGAAGAGAATTTCCATGCTGCCAACAGTTGCATTGAATGGAGGTGAAATGGAGAATTTGGACATGTTCTTCTCCAAACTTAACTTGAGACGCCGACAAAGCATTATGAATTCTGAACCAGACAGCCAATGGGACATCAAAATCTGGGGAAATAAATGCAAAACTAGTCTGAAAGTCTTAGCTATTATACAGTCTTGCCCAGTACAGCAACTGATCCATTTTTGACAGCTAAAAATTTTTAATCACCAGAGTGTTGTAGCTGATGTGTATGAAAGTACAATGTGCATGGTGGACCTTAGAAAAGAACAAAATAAGGGCATTAAGTCTTCCAAAAGAAGAGATGTGTGTGCATAGATGGCTTAGGGGAGTTATCGGTGGAGGGTGTCCAGGTTCTTGGCTTTTTGAAGAAAGAATTGGACAAAACACACAAACACACAAACAAAGTAAGGAAATAATAAAGCAACAAAAGCAGAGATTTATTGTAAATGAAACCATACTCCACAGGGTGGTAGCAGGCCCGAGCAAGTGGCTCAAGAGCCCAGTTAAATAATTTTCTGGTGTTTAAATACCCTCTAGAGGATTCCCATTGGTTACTTGGTGTATGCCATATGTAAATGAAGAGGATGAAGTAAGGTTACAAAGTTATTTACTTAGTGTACACCCTATGCAAATGAAGAAGATGAAGTGAGATATGCAAATGAAGAAGATGAAGTGAGGTTACAATGTTATGTACACCCTATGCAATGAAGAGGATGTTTGCTGCCATAGCTGAAGTAGAGTTACAAAGTTATTTACCTGGGCTTAGAAAGTTTAATTTAATTCCATTTAAATTAGTTCTCGGAAGACATTAGGTTCACCGCCTCCAGACCCTATTTCCTGTCTCAGGGGTTTCTGGAGGAGAACAGAGAAGATAAGGGGTTAGAAATAATGTTAAGGCATTTTTTTCTGAAAAAAAGTAGTCTACCTTCTTTATTATCTTTATTATCTGGGTATATCATATGAGAATGTGGCAAGATAGTACTTTGGATTCTTTGAAATTTATCTAGCTAAACTTCCAGGGTTAATTATTTGGAATAAGATGTAGAGGCTGCCAAGTGAGACAACAAAATGTAAGTGTTACGTTGGACTGGAGAGCCTTTACTCCAATTCTCAGGGATTAATGAATGAGGTAAGGAAGGGTCTTGGAGAGAATAAATTCAACACCAGATAAATTATACCAGATAGTTTAAGTTTTGTTCGAGCTGCTTAAGTCTGTATGGGATTTCCTTTTGGGGAGGTGGCAATGTATAGGGATTGTCTTTAACTTCTCTCCCCTCTCTTACATGATTAGCACTAAGATGAAAATGTAGTAGATATTGGGTAACACAAAGTTAGAGAAGGAAATGAGTTGAAAAAAAAATAGCATTTCTATGTTAGATAAAAGAGGTGTGACAAGAAAAGATCTCAGTGTTGGAATGGGTTAAATAGTATGATCACAACCTGAGAATTCTAGGAACCTTATTATAATGTGCAAATGATGAGCCTCTAGCCACTTCAGGCAGCATTTTCAGCACATTAGGGTGTTTAAAGCAATCACCACATTATAGGCCTAGGAGGATTCTCCAGAGATTTAGGCTTGAGAAAACATATGTTTTTTGGTTTTTTGGTGTTTTCCTGACTTCTCATTAGCAACAGTGTAATTTTCGCTGCTCTTCCATCCAATAAACATCACAATTATATCCCCAGATCACAATGATCAGCTCTGGTGACAGATGTGGAAACTCATGGTCACCATGAGAGACTGTGAAGTCTGTCTCAGTCATAGTTGGCTGCTGGAGATGAAGAGAAAGGACTGGCAAAGGATTCTATTGTGGATACAGATAGAAGTCCTTTAGGACTGTGAATGTCTAGTGAGTCCTTTATACTAGCTTTTGAACCTCCTTCTTAATATTTCCAAAAAGCATTATCTGTTTTTTTCTGAAAGCATGACATGCATACTACTGGTAGTAGGCAAGATGATTTTATGTGGTACATGATCTCACTAAAAATAGAATAAGGATGAGTTTAGAGAGAGAATTCAGATAGGGAAATAGTAGATGATAACAATACCAATGGTATTATGGATATGGTAAGAATCACACAATTTTGGGGCGAATAGCTGAAATCTGTCCTGTGCTATACTTTTTGTTAGGTGTGTCTCATAGTTGTATAGATGGCAATCTCTAGACTCAAAATTATGAACTCCTAAGAAACTGGAAAATGAGCAAAGCTGGAAACTTGAACTTGATCATACATGTCTTCCCTGCAGACTGACAGAATTACATTTCTTATGGAGAACCGCAAGTCCTTAGTAACTAAACACATATCATGAGATTCTTATTAGAAAGGGATAGTGGGTTGGGGGAATGTCTACTTTCGTAAACTGAGCTGGACAAACTTCATAAACCAGTGATGGTAGATGTTATTCAGTTCCAAGTTCAATTTTATTATCCCTGGATTATTGTTGATTTTGTTTAAAAGTGTGTTGTACTAGCAGAACTGCATTTGCACGTGTGTTTCCAACCCACCTGGATATGACCACATGTGTTTTGATGGAATCATACAGATACGAGAGTAAAGTTAATCAATCAGCAAACACAAATCAAAGTCTATCTTTCCCATTTCCCAAAAATGAGAAATGTTTTCAGCAATTTCAAGCCTGATGAAATGAGATTGGATGAGGGGGAAAGGAGACAAAGAGAGAATAATTTATTCTACCAATATATGCCATGAGAGAAAAAATATAATTTCTATCAGGTAATTAGGGAGTTACGAAGTTGTCCACTGACTTAGACACAAGCATTTCCTCACCAGAACTGCTCTACCACTCTCTCTCATCCCAATCCAGTCAGAACTTGTTTAGTGAGAAGGTACCTCCCTGAAAATTGTTGATGTATTGATGATGACTGTGGTGTGGCTGGTGCAAGTTCACTGATCTCAGATAGTCCCTATGAGTAGGTTTTAAGTAGGGATGAGAGACAGGAAGAGCTGAGTAGCTGAAGCATTAGAAAACAGAACACAGCTTTCATCATGTCAGCCACAGGATCTGATCATGATGGTCTTGGATTATATCGTGATGTTTCTTGGACTGTAGAGAAGTGAAAAATTACATTGCTGCTAATGAGTAGTCAGAAAAAACACTGAGGAATCAAGGAATCTTAGTTTTCTCAGGTTCAAATATCTGGAGGTTTCTCCTGTCTAGGTGATGATCATGATAACCACCCTAAAAGACAGAATGATGAAACACGCAGAGAATATCACAGCAAGGTTGTGAAACAGAAAGATTTATAGACTCTTAGCTGTGTCTGAAAGACTGTCAGATAGTAGGGTTTGAGCTACAAGATTTGAAAAACCTGTTGCCCAGTTGTAGACGTGAAGAGGAGATTCACGTTGACCTTGGTTTACCTCTCACATGTAAAAAGCTTGGAAGTCATCACTCCTATCCTAAAAACAAGAAATAAATCTGAGAAGACTAAAAAATCAGTGACTTTTGTTAGAGTCATCAGAGACTTGATCTCACAAGACAGACCACCACCTTGAAATCTTAAGAGACGGACAAATACAAGTAATTGCAGCTAAAACTTTTGTACCAGAAACAAAAGCTCTTGAGATGTATACTGATAAGAATGGTTAAATGTGAATTTTAATAAATTCTTTGAGATTGAGTGTAGATTAGCTTGAGAGTAAAAATCCTGCTAGGCCAGTCTTAGTTTTCCCTACACTTCGCTGAGTTTTAACTTCAGGATCCCCAGTGGTTTCTCACAATGAAGCCTGGAGAAGAAGAAACATCAGATGATCATACTAATAGTTTCACAAAAAGCATTTGACAAAATCTAATACCCATTCATGGTTTAAAAAAATAAAAACCTCTCATCAAACTAAGAACAGAGGGAAACTTTCTTAACCTGTTAAAGAACATCTATGAAAAACCTATAGCTAACATCATACCAAATGGAGAGAAAAAGACACTTTCCTCCTAGTTGTAAAGAAAGCAAAGATATTCTCCCTTACCACTTCTATTCAATATTGTACTGCAAGTCCTAGGTAGTGTGACAAGATTTGTAAAAAGGAAACAAAAGATATAAATATTAAGAAGGAAGAAGCAAAACTGTCTTTTTCCACAAATAATAAATTTTAAAAATAAATAAAATTGTAAAAATAAAATAGAAAATTAAAAAGTAACAATAAAAAAGTAGAAAAAGAAACAAAAAATACAAAAAAACATCTTGGAACTAATAGCAGATTATAGCAAGTTTGCAGGATACAAATTAATACATGACAGTCTGCTGTTTTCCTATATACCAGCAATGGAAATGTTGAAATTTTCAAAGAAAAACACAACACCATTTATAATAGCATGAAAATAAAACACTTACATAGACATTTAAGAAAATATGTACAGAATCTCTATGCAGAAAACTGTAACACTGTAATTTAAAAAAATCAAAGAAGATCTAAACATATAAAAAGATATTCTATGTTCATGGATTGGAAGACTGAATATTTTTTTTTTCTTTGAGATGGAGTCTCACTCTGTCGCCAGGCTTGAGTGCTATGGTGTGATTTCGGCTCACTGCAACCTCCAGCTCCCTGGTTCAAGAGATTCTCCTGCCTCAGCCTCCAAAGTAGCTGAGATTAAAGGCACGTGCCACCATGCCCAGCTAATTTTTTTATTTTTAGTAGAAACAGGGTTTCACCATGTTGGCCAGGATGGTCTTGATCTCCTGATATCATGATCCACCCACCTCGGCCTCCCAAAGTGCTGGGATTACAGGCGTGAGCCACCGCGCCCAGCCAGAAGACTTAATATTTTTAAGATGTCCATTCTTCTCAACTTAGTCTAGATATTCAATGCAATTATAATCAATATTCCAGCAAGCTATTTTATGGATATTGAAAATCCAATTCTAAAGTTTATATCGAACAGCAAAATACATGGAGTAGTCAATGCAATACTGAAAAAGAACAAAGTCAGAGGACTGACAATGCCCAATTTCAAGATTTAATATAAAGGTAAATTAAGACAGCACTGTAATCATGAAAGAATAGACATTAGATTAATGGTACAGCATAAAGAGCACAGAAATAGTCCCATACTGATATAGTCAACTGATTTTTGACAAGAGCAAAGGCAATTCAATAGAGAAAGAATAGTCTTTTCAACAAAAGATACTGAAATAATTCAACATCCATATGCAAAAATAAATAAATCTAGACAGGAATTACACCTTTCAGAAAAAATTAACTGAAAATGAATCATTGATCTAAATATAAATCATAATACTGTATAACTTCTGGAAGAAAACATAGGAGAAAATCTGGGAGACCTTGGGTTTGGTGAGTTTTTAAATGCAACACAAAACCACAATCCATGGGGGGAAAAAAAAGTTGTCTTTATTAAAATTTAAGTGTTTTTCTCTGTGAGAGGCAATGTTAAGACAATCAAAAGACAAGGCATGAAGTTGAAGGAAATATATACAAAACACTTATCTGATGAATAATTTGTTTGTAAAACATATAAACAATTCTTGAAACTCAACAAAGAAAATAAGCAACCTAATTAAGAAATAGGCTAAAAATCTGAACAGAAACCTTACCAAAGAAGACATTTAGAGGGCAGACAAACATGTGAAAAGATGCTCAACATTATATGTCATTAGAAAATTGCAAATTAAACAATAATGAAATACCACTACACACCCATTAGAATGGCTAAAATAGAAACAAAAAACTGGCAATACCAACTACTGGCAAAGATGGAGAGCAAAAGGAACTCTCATTCATTGCTATTAGAAATGGAAAATAACACTGAAACCTCAGAAGACAGGTTAGCAGTTTCTTACAATGCTAAAGACAATGTTACAGTCCAGTCCCACAATTATGCTCCTAGGTAATTAAACAATTGAGTTAAAAACTTTTGTCTGCACAAAACCCTGCGTGCTTATGTTTATAGCAACCTTATTCATAATCACCAAAAACTGAAAGATGGTCTTCAATAGGTGAATGAATAAACAAACTGTGGCATATCCATACAATGAACTACTACTATTCAGCAATTAAAAAGTAAGCTATCAAGCTGCAAAAGCAAAACAAAACAAAACAAAACAACAACAACAAAAAATATAAAAACCTTAAATGTAGCCAGGTGTGGTGGTGCGCACCTATAATCCCAGCTACTGTGGAGATTGAGGCACGAGAATGGCTTAAACTTGGGAGGTAGAAGTTGCAGTGAGTCTATATTGCACCACTGCACTTCAGCCTGGGCGATAGAGTGAGACTCTGTCTCAAAAAAACAACAACAAGAAACAACAAGAACAAAAACAACAAAAAACCCCAAACAACAACAATAAAAAAACCTTAAATGCATATTGCTAAGTGAAAGAAGCCAGTCCTAAAAGATTGCATACTCTGGGGGTTCCTCCCCAGACTGTGCACCTCCCATATCTGATCTAGAAGCCCCAGATCCCCACCTTTTCCCCACCCCACCAGGGCTTGTCTGTGGGCTGTGACGGGGTTTGAGGAGTGGTGGGGACTGCTGAGGCAGGTGTCAGAGGGCAGCCTGGTGCTCCTTATTCTAGGAATGAGTCAGGGCTGGGTGGCAGTGGCTGCACCAGTCAGCTGCTGTCATCCATATCACAGCCCTCTCCCCCCGTGGTGGGGAGGGAATGGTCATGCTGGCTGCTGCCATTTTGTCCCTAAAAAAAAGAAAAGAAAGAAAAACGAAAAGGCTGTGTATATTGTATGATCCAATGACAGGGCATTCTGGAAAAAGCAAAACTATAGAGGCAGTAAAATGATCAGCAGTTGCCAAAGGTTCCAGGATAGGATGAAGCACAGATGATTTTGGGGGATTTTATCTATGATATTACAATGGTGGACATAACACCTTACACATTTTTCAACATCCATGGAACTTTATAACCCAAAGAGTGAACACTAATATCTGCAATATTTTAAAAACAATTTAGGACCTTGGGGGTCTCAGAAAGGAATACAGACTGTGACAAGAGCATCTAACTGTAATGCAAATGATGAAACAACTTCCCTGCAGGGTACGGAGGGAAGAGGTGCTGACCTAAACGAGTAGAAATAAGTGGAGTCTAAGGCTAAAGGCAAAAGAAACTGCACATAAAAGCTATGTAAGTGGGAGCTAAACCATAAGAACACATGGACACATAGAGGGGACCAACAGACACCGGGGCCTACTTAAGGATGAAGAGTGGGAAGAGGGAGAGGATCAGAAAAATTACATATCAGTTACTATGCTTATTACCTGGGTGATGAAATAATCTGTATGCCCAACTCCTGAGACACAGTTTGCCTAAATAACAAACCTGCTTATGTACTCCTAAACCTAAAAGCTTTTTTTAAAATGAAGAAGTAAAAAGGCTCTACAAGACAGTTAATCACTTCACTTGTAGGAAAAGTCACAGTGTTAAATATTTTATGGCAACTGAGAAGAATGCAGGATAGGTATTTTTGTGCTCACTAGAGAAATAGAAATCTTTTGAAATTTTCACACATTTTTTGCATTCTATTTGATATATTAAATTCATATAAAATTTTAAAAAAAATGTTTTCAAGGTTGAGGGGACAGATTTGACCAAAACTCAATGTTAGCTGATATCCTGGGCTTTCCCATTGTTCACATTTTGGAAGTTCCTTTTGCCCAGTAACTGTTTTTCATTCCCTGTATCTTTCTTGTTCTTAGTTCATTCACCCATCTTGGTGCATTTTATTGTCCAGTTACTTTCTAATAAAAACTGCATAAAAGGCAAATGTTCCAAAATATGCATGTTTCTAAATATTATTACTCTGCACTCACCCTTGATTAGTCCAATGGCTGTGTATAGAATTCAAAGTTGGAGATGATTAGTTGTTAAAATTTTGCAAACATTCATTCCTTGTTTTCTTATTTCCAAGGTTGCTGTAAAGAAGTTCAAAGTCTACATCCTTTGTATTTGACCTCTTTTATCTCAGTAGAAGATTTCGGGATATATTTAATCCATTACTGGTTGTGGAGTCATATTTTCATTATCATAACAGACAATTGGTGAGCCCTTTTAACCTGTAAAGTCATGTCATTCAATTATGGGAAAATGTATAATTGCTTTGACAATTTGATCTCCCTGTCTCTTTTGTCCATTTTTTCTTCTGTAACTCTCATTTTTCAGATGTTGGACTTCATGGGTTGCTCTCATAATCTTGTTTCTTCTATTTTTGTTCCTTTTTTTGTTGTGCATGCTGAGATATTTTCTCAACTTCATCTTCCAATCTTCTACATATAGGAAAGAATGCACAAATATATATATACATAGCCAACTAGTATACATAAATTAATGTATAGGTGTATATGTATATATGCAAAATTTTCTTCCTCGCTGTATTCACTTTGTTTCTCTCCCTTAATCTGTTTCTCCCCTTCTCTGTTTTCTCTTCTTTCTCTTCTTTCTTCACTCTCTGATTTATCCTTCTTTTGGTTTTCCTTACTCTAATTCCATGACTCTTTCTCTTTTAAATTTTTAAAAAATTGACATATCACAGCTGTATACATTCATGTAATATGTGTATAAAGTGAAATGATAAAATGAAGTTAACATATTCATCATTTCACTTAACTCTTTGGGTTGAGAAGTTTGAAATTTAGCATATTATTTATTTTGAAATTTACCATCTTATTTATTTTGACATAAAGAATACATTGTTATTGACTACAGTCACCCAACTGTGCAATAGATTTAAGAATTTACTTCTCCTTTCTGACTGAAACTTTGTAAACTTTGACCAACAACTCTTCATTTTTCTCCCTTTTTTTCTCCCTGATCCTCTGGTAATCACTATTCTACTCTCCACTTCTATGAGTTTTTTAGATTTCCCCATATAGTGTAATTGTGCAGTATTTGTCTTCTTGTGCCTGGATTATTTCACTTAACATAAGTGAATATGTCTTCCAGGTTGGTCCATATTGTTGCAAATGACAGGAGTTCTTTCTTTTTGCAGGCCAAATAATATTACATTGTGTGTATATACCTCATTTTCTTTATCCATCTGTCGTTTGATGGACACTTGGGTTGCTTCCATTTCTTGCTTATTGTAGATAATTCTGCATTTTCTACAAAAATGACAAGAACACACAATAGGGAAAGGACAATTTTAAAAACTAGGTTGTGCTGGGGAAATTGGATATGCACACGTAGAGGAATCAAATTGGATCCTGATCTCAGATCATAGAAAAAATTAACTAGAAATGGTTTAGATATTTAAACATAATACCTGAAATTGAAGAACTGCTAGAAGAAAACATAGGGGAGAAGGTCCATGACATTGGTCTAAGCAATGATTTTTTGGACATGACCCTGAAAGCACAGGCAGCAAAAGCAAAAATAGACAAATGAGATAGGATCAAACTTAGAAGCCTCTGTACAGAAAAACAAAAACAAACAAACAAAAAAAATGATTAACAGAGAAAATATTTTCAAACCATACATTTGATGAGGAACTAATATCCAAAATATATAAAGAACACAAACAACACAACAGCAAGAAAACAAATAATCCAACTTAAAAATGGGCAAAGGACCTGAACAGACATTTCTAAAATAAAGAAATAAAAATGAACAATGGGTTCATAAAAAAATGTTCAGCATCACTGACCATTAGGGAAATGCAAATTAAAACCACATGAGATATCCCCTCACACCTGTTAGAACAGCTTTTATCATAAAGATGAAAGATCAGTGGTGGCGAGGATGTGAGTAAAGGAAACCCTTGTACACAGTTGGTAGGAATGTAAACTGGTACAACCACCATGGAATATGGTACAGAGTTTCCTCAAAAAAACTGAAAATAGAACTTCCATAGGAGCCAGCAATTTCACTTCTGGGTGTACATCCACAGGGTGTACACCAATTTCTGTACATCCAATTTCTGGGTGTACATCCACAGGAATTGAAATCAATATGTCTAAGGTATATCTGCACTCCATGCCGCTCCCTTCTAATACTTTATTTCAATCTCTCTCCTTGCTTTCTACCTGGTTTACCCTCTGTTTTTGTCCTTATTCATTTTTCTCTTTTTGTTTTTTTCCACTATTTATTTTCTCCTTTTGTTTCCCTCTCTCTTTTTCTCTCACCACTGTTTATTTTCCTCTTCTTGTTTCTAATCTCTGTTCCTCCCCGACATCTGTTTCTGTCTTTATTTCTCCACTTTACTTGATATCCTCCTTCTCTTCTCTTAGCTTTACTCTCATTACCACTCGCCACGCTCTCCCTTCTTTCTCTCCATCTGCCCCTTCACTCTCTCCACCCCTTTGTTTTCTCCCTTTCTCTCTTCCTTGTTTCACCATATCTTCCTGACTCTCATTTCCATAATTCTCCCTCTCCCATCTCTATTTTCAATCCACTATCCTTATTCACATTTTCTATGTTGCTCTTTGTATTACATTTTTATTTCCAAAATGTCTTACTGATCTTCTGATTATCTCTTAAATACATAAAGCATCTATGTCTTGTTTCATGGATTCAGGATATTCTTACATTTAAGGTTATTATTTTATTTGCCATTGTTTCTTCATGGGCATCTTGTTTTGCCTATGCCCTCTATATTAATTTTTCCTGTTTCCTCATTGGTTTTCAGCTCTGTTTTTCATATTAGTATTTTCCAATCCTACTTGACAGTCTGTACCTGCTGATTTTTTTTCTTTTTTCTTTCTTTTGAGGCTGGGTCTCACTCTGTCATTCAGGCTGGGGTGCAGTGGTACTATCTTGGCTCACTGCAAACTCTGCCTGCTGAATTCAAGCTGTCCTCCCACCCCAGCCTCCCGAGCAGCTGTGACCACAGGTGCAGACCACTGTGCCTATATAATTTTTGTATTTTTTGTAGGGATAGAGTTTCACTATGTGTCCCAGGCTGGTCTCAAACTCCTGAGCTCAGGCAACCCACCTGCCTTGGCTTCTCAAAGTGCTGGGAATACAGACATGAGCCACCACACCAGCCTGTAACTGCTAATTTCTACTTAAGAGTTGCACTAAAAAACTGTTTGAAAGCTAAATGTGCAAGGATAGGACTTGTTAATTAGTGGTTATCGCTGTAGGGTAACTGAGCAAGATCTGATCAGTATTTTGGGAGCCTACAATGTGGGTATCTATGGGCATTTTTATTCTAGCCAGTCAGAAAGGAATCTTCTTCTTCAAAAAAAAAATCTTCAATCTTCTGTGTACAGTATAGAAACCTAGATAATAGATTCTGGCACCTACAAAGAAGAGAACCTGCAAGTTTTACCATTTGTCAGATTTACTTTAATTTAAAGCTCCTTTTTTCCATGTAGAAGTTCACTTTTCTTTCAGCTCTGGCTGGTGTCCACAGGTACAAAACTATCTAGTTCATTCTTTTCAATGAATAAAAATCCAACCTTCTTCTAGGTTAAAAGATGCTCTTTTAGCCTGGTTCTCCTAAAATAAAAGCCTGAGACTGAGGCATAAATATATGGTTCAGGGAGAAAAAGTAAGTGTTAGGGGAATTAGGCAGATAAGTTGGGAGAATAATAAGCAATGATGAAAATATAAATTTGATGATTAATAACAAAAAAGACTCCCAATACAGCAATGTTAGAGTTAGTGTTGAAGTCTTTAATGTTCATATAAAAATGCCAGTGTTTAAAATGTTGCAGAATATAAAAATATGGAAGGAAGTTAGAATGACAATTATTAAAAAAATCAGGACACAACAGGTGCTGGAAAGGATGTGGAGAAATAGGGACACTTTCACACTGTTGGTGGGACTGTAAACTAGTTAAACCATTGTGGAAAACAGTGTGGCGATTCCTCAAGGATCTAGAACTAGAAATACCATTTGACCCAGCCATCTTATTACTGCGGATATACTCAAAGGATTATAAGTCGTGCTGCTATAAAGACACATGCACACTTATGTTTATTGCGGCACTATTCACAATAGCAAAGACTTGGAATCAACCCAAATGTCCCTCAGTGACAGACTGGATTAAGAAAATGTGGCACATATACACCATGGAATACTATGCAGCCATAAAAAAGGATGAGTTCATGTCCTTTGTAGGGACATGGATGCAGCTGGAAACCATCATTCTCAGCAAACTATTGCAAGAATAGAAAACCAAATACCGCATGTTCTCCCTCATAGGTGGAAATTGAACAATGAGATCACTTGGACACAGGAAAGGGAACATCACACACTGGGTCCTATTGTGGGGAGGGGGGAGTGGGGAGGGATAGCATTAGGAGATATACCTAATGTAAATGACGAGTTAGTGGGTGCAGCACACCAACATGGCACATGTATATATATGGAACAAACCTGCACGTTGTGCACATGTACCCTAGAATTTAAAGTATAATTTAAAAAAAAGAATAAATCTATGATTTGTGAAGCACTGAAAAAAATATGGAAGTTTTCTTCTTACTTTATAAAGCTAGTACAAAGGACAGAAAAGAGACTGCATATTAAAAGAATGAAACAATGACCATGTAAAGATTTTCCTAGAATACAAGAATGGTTTAAGATTCGAAAATTAATAGAATGTGTCAGTCAATCAAGATCTTCAAAAGGCCTTTGACAAAACATCCATTCCTTTTATAAACTTCATAGTCTAAGAATGAAGAGCTCTTTCCTTGATAATAAACATTCTTAAGTCAACATTCTGTATAAACCTTAACAATAAAACATTGAAGGTATTCCCATTGAAGTTAGAAAAAAGATATGAATGTAGGCCATGACTACAGCTTAATTTTGGTCTGGAAATTTAAAAGAACTCGTGGGTTCTTTGCCACTGTGAAGGTGGTATTAAAAGGTACACATCTACAAGTGCCAACTCCTCTGATCATGTAATTACTTTCTTCCTGAGAGGCTCTATTTTCATTGAAGCCAATTCTATGACCTCTCCAGAGCTTTCTAAAAGTACAGAGGAAAAGAGTGAGGGAATGCACAAGCCACTTAGGAATTTAGCAAAAGATAGTTTACAGAGTAAAGGTCTTTATGTGCTAAGTCTGAGAGCCAACCATAGCAATTCCATGATGTTTGGATGATTGTAAGCCTTACACACACATTCCAGACACTCCCCAGGCCCTATTGCAAGCACAATTAAAAGCATCCTTATGTGATAGAAGAGCATTCCTCATTGCAATTGTGACTAGTTGTGGAGAGTTGTCATGGGTGCATAAAAAACAAAGGATTTTTGAAGGTAGAAAGGGAAATTCCAGTTCCTCTTTTGATGGATTTAAATATAAGCTGTAAGCCAAATGCA